GGACTTCAAAAGCTTTTCATCCTCATCTTTTTGCTTTCACTCCTTGTTATATACTCTGTGTTGTTCAGAACTTTGGAATGAGAATACTTTTAATAAATTATCAGAGGATATAAGAGTTCAAATATAAATCTTCAAACACCACAGAAGATTGTAAAATCGTCATGGCTCTGAGCATTTTAATGGGAAGAAATTGCATCACACTGGCACCTCAGTCCTCTACACTCTTCTGGCTTATCACTGGCATAGTATTTCATGTGTGCTTCCTGAAAGCTTTGTAAATTGTGCTTCTGTGTTGATTTACCTGATGTTCTAGAATCTGAGAGGTGACTTGGCTGCACTCCAGCTGTTTGACAATAGCTCTTCAAGCGGAAATGCTTAATAGATGCTTGTGAATGAATTAGTTTCCTCTCTGGATTTTTTTTCCTTTTCAGGTCTCTCAGGCAGCTGCAGAACTCCAGCAGTACTGTATGCAAAATGCCTGCAAAGATGCCTTGCTTGTTGGGGTTCCTGCAGGGAGCAATCCCTTCCGTGAACCCCGATCCTGTGCTCTGCTCTGAAATCAGGTAATAAAGTCACAGATGCCATGACAACCACTCTAAGCTGAAAATGAAGCCCTTGGAGAGACAAAGACACATGGTGATACTTGCTTAAGTGTTGAGTTCTTGCTTGAGTGTTCATAGTTTCTCTGCTGGCTCTGCAAATGGTTTTCTGCATTTTTTAGGTGATGCAGTAGAAGCATGTCTCTTTTCTACAGCTCTTTCTAGAGGTGTTTTCTTTATGAGTTGCTTTTTTGTTGGGATAGTTGTGTTTCTGTATTTGTGCAGCAATAAGGTAATTAGCAGCATTCAAAGTAATTAAAATTGTTAAGACACACAGCTGTGTTTGACATAGCCAGACAGTAGACAGTCACATATCCAGCTCGGAGAAGTAAGACAAAACTGTGGCAATTTTATATGTTCTGATGACTAACTCACAGCTTAAGTAAGAATCATGTTAAAATACGTTTAGGTCTTTAGTGTTATATTGCAGTTCATTTCACTGTATCTGTCCTTAGGCTTTTCCTGTTCTTACTGTTGGTACAGCACCAAAACCAGTGGAAGCAGAGAGGAGCTGAGGCAATCTGTAGTCACGTCCTTCGTAACCTTTTTCAGCACAGATCTAAAGGATGAGCTACTCTCTGAACTCTGCATTGCCTGTTCCCCTGTCCCCCACCTACCTGCAGAGTAGGTGGGTGGGTGGCTGTCCAACCTTTGCGATCCAGTTCCATGATTCCCAGTCTGGCCTCTCCCATTTGTCACGAAGGTTATCAGTAATCGCAGCAGGAGAAAGAAAGGCCGTGCATGCTAGTAGTCTTGGGCAGAACCACACCATAACTGGAAAATCTACTTCTTTTGCTTAACACACAAATGTGGAAGTAGGATATTCAGAAGGGGTTACTCCTCCTTAAAAGAAAAAATAAAAACATTTCCTGCTAAGGAGCTGAAAAATCTACAGAGAGAGGAAGAAACACTGAAGTCTGTTCTTTTGGTGAGAGTGCTATTAAAGAAAAAATGGATGTTTTCTCAAAGGGCAGAATTTAAGCTAGAACATAAAGTACTCATAAAATCTTCCCCTTGCTGCTGCTAACTGTCCTGGGCTTGCACCTGAGTTTTTGCCTCATCGATAGCATGGTTTTCATTGTTGCTACATAGGTTTAACAAAACAGGATTGAACCTAAAGAAAGGGAACAACTGAATGTGAGATGCTCTTCTGGAAAAATTCAGAGAGGGTGAAGCAAAAGCAGATTTTCTTAATTTGGGTGCTACCTCTAATTCTTCATGCAAATAAGATAAAATTCTTAATACCATTTCATATGTTCTTCTGTTATTTAAGCAGCCTTTCTACTTTTTGGTTTTCTGGGGGTTCTGTGTATGTTCTGAGGTGATCACATCATACAGATACATTACAAAATATTTTCTCAGAAGAACTTGATGATTAATTTACCATACTTTTAAAAATGCATAGCTCAGCCCAAGATGTCATTTGGTACTTTTTGCTGGTAGATCAAATATTTAGTTTATTATTCTTGTGTTACCTTAGGATCATAAGAAATTCAGAGCAAAGTAAAAAAGCCAGTTAAAAATTTTATGATATTGTGAGGATATCAACATTCAGCAAAGGAAAGTCATTATTTGGTTTTTCTCAGTGCAAAGGAGCTTTTCTGTTGTAATTTATAAGAGAAATTACATCTATCAGCATAAGAAAATGGCATTTAATAAGCCTTTCTTTTTCTTCTTTTAGGGAAGGTCATTGGAGAATTGTCTTCAAGCATGACATGAATAACAACTACCTTTCCTTCACAAGAAAAGTCTCTGTCTTTTATGTGGCTAAAACAGAATCCTAGATATCTGTTTGTGTGTTCTTGTGAATCTGTATTCCACTACATTTTAGTAATGTTCTTGAAGTTTCTTAATGTAACTGTTTTTTCATAATCTTCACCACTTTTACTACACTGTGCTAACTATACAAATATTACTTGAGAAGTTTACATTTTAGAAATGAAAAACATGTGAATTTTTAATCAAATTACTTGCTCTGATCTTCATAACCTGTAACATTGGAATAATAGCAAAAACTACTCATGGGGATTTTTTTTTCCAAAATAAAACAACCTAAAAGTGAATAATTAAAGTATAAAGGTAAATGCTGTTAGAGCTGAAGTAATGTCCACAGGGGACATTTTGCTTCCATCAGCAAGACCTGAAACCAACTTTAGTTTTTTTTCAAGTGCATCTCAGTGCATAAGTGACACATTTTAGTAACTGCTGAACACAATATGTAACAAAGGCCTGATTCCTAAAGCATGTTTCTTGCAATACTTTTTATCTGTAAGCTTTCTTCTGCTTTGTATTTGTAACAGTACTGCTGCTGGTGGAATTTTCTTGACGTATTTGAAATGTTACCAAACAGACACTAAGAATCTGTGAACACCCAAAGATAATTGCATGCACTGTTGTCACGGTTTGCAATACACAGAATTTACTAAAATGTGGTTGGTCATTTGCCTTCACTTTTTTGATAGAGCACTTTTACAAGAACAACTTTTTTACTAGGTTTTTAATTTTGTGTACTTCCTATTGTTTGTATTAATCTTTTAGAAGTTTGGAAATAAAATTCCTATCCCTCTTGGCTTTGAACTCATTGTGTAATTCTAACAAAGAACAGCTACTGTCAAGAAGATGATACGTGGATTTTGCAGTGGGAGTGAATGCCTCAAGCTCTTTGCTCTTTTGGGAAGAGATGGGTGGTGTTAGATTTTTAGCAACTGTATATTATTAGTAGAAAAATCCCATTCATATCTGTTGACCATAGTTGTAAATACTAACAATGTTATGAGGCTTGCTTATACATTTTGAAGCTGTAAGGAAGAACTCCATAATCTGAGTCCTTAATGTTCATGAATGTTAACTGAAATGGAGCAACAGTGTCCTCCAGTTAGTTCAGTCTTTGTCAAATATTTTCATATTGCTGTCCTGCAGAAAGACACCAACATGAGAGCTGTAATAGTGCCAGTATGTGTTGTGTCTTTAAACACAGAAGAGAACATCCTTCCTTCAGAGCTTCTCTTCACTCTGACTTCCTTTCACTGTAGGCTATTTAAGAATGGCAGTTTTTCTGTACCGGACACAGGTACAAAAGTCTAGAGAAAACCAAGTTACTGTTGCACAGAGGCCAGCAGAGGCTTGGTTTGAAGCCGAAATGTCAAAGATACTGATGAGTCAAAAGCCTTTGGACAGCCAGCATTTGGCCGCTGCCTACTTCCTTCTAGGCAAGCCCTTCATATTTCTTTTCCCTCTTGCGATAAAACCTCCCCTCATCTACACACCTCCACATCTGTTTCTCTCCCCAGAGCCCCTGTTTTTTTAAGTAATTATGCTTTCAGGCTCAGCAGTGTTATTTGGAGCTTGGGTTTTGAAGTGTCTGCTGAGCTGGCACGAGGAGTGACCAAATCACAGTGTGCAGCAGAGAGCCACCACTGCTAGACAGCCAGTCAACCACTGCTGTCTCTTGGCTGCCCTGCCCAACTCCATCTGGTCTCTTGCAGCTGGAGCAACTGCAGGTGGGCAGCTGCGTGCAGCATCTCAGCTTCCTTTACCAAAGACTATCCAAGAGGGCTATCTGCTGTGCAGATACCATCTGATGGCAGCAGGTCCTACAGGACACCCAGGGTAAAGATTGAGTGAGTGTGCACATTCATATGCTCAGCCTCTCGCATGAGACACAAGCCCCCTTTTCTCACTGTCCTCTCTCCTGGCTGATCAGCATGGCTCTTCTCCATCTACAGGTGCCTCCTGCCTGGTCTCTAAAATGTTTACAAACTTGTTCCAGGAATGCAGTGTCCCTACCTGCTTATGTAAGACTGGAGATTAGATTTTTGTACTGTGCCTTTTTGTCTAAGAATTAGTTGCCTCCTAATTCATAGGTAATAATGAATTAGGTAATTTGGCAGGGTGGGTGTCGGGTAGGAGGGGGAGTGCGGAAGGGCATCATTGCAGTTCAGCAGTAATTTTATTCCATGTTAAACAGACAAAAGAAGGGGGAAGAATGCCATATTTTGTCAAATATGTCAATTTTGTCAAATGTCAAATTTGTCAATATGTCCGTATTTTTGAGAGACTGAGATTTGTCATAAACAAAAACAGTAAAAACCAATAGTCATTGCAAGCCCTTTTCCTAATTTCCCACTACATTATCAGTAATTTAACTGTATACTGACATTTTTCCTACCTAATGGAAACTCAACACAGACAGCACTTGAATTTTTTTTTATTTAATGTACACAACATATCTTTTTTTTCAAAGTTATCTACAGATTATCTATGCTATGCTTTCACAACTGTTCACATGGAAGTTCTGGTGTCAGCCTTTGCCTGTGGAAGCGGAGAACATAAATACATAGCTTGGCACCAGCAGCTATAATTTTCTCAAACTGTGGTCATCTGTGACTGAGGCTTTGTAGACCTCTTTGTAGAGCTTTTTTCTTTTTTTCAAAAAAAAAAAAAAAAAAAAAAAAAAACCAAAAAACTCAGATTCCTGTTTTTTTGGGAGGTACTTCTGAACAACATAACCCATGATGCAAAAGAAGTAAAATGGTTAGGTCAGGTGACCACAAAAATGGGCCATGGATAGTAAGCAAATTGCAACTTTTATTTCAGTCTTTCTCTTATTCTAGGGAACAGTGGCTTGTTGTAATTTTACTAGAAATCTTTTTATATTGCCACTTGTGAAAGGTATTTTCTTAAAACCTGCTAACAGTGTACAAATAATTCAGGAATATTACTGTGAACTAAAATTGCCATTAGTGCAGTTACAGCTTTTTAGAATTCAGTCAAAAAATTGCACTCTTGTTTTCTCTGAGAGACCAAACCTTTCTTCCCTAAGTGCTGGTTTCATTTACTCAGATAGTGAATACGTGCTTAATGAAGGCTTTATGTCAAGTAAGTATTTAAGTGCAAGCATAAACCTTAAACTTGGTGGGGTTTTTTTACTACTTCCCCCCCACCCCCCATATTTCTGTTACTACATCAAACTTAAGACAATTAGTGAGTTTGAAACCTGAATAACCTCAGCTGAAGGCCACTGAACAGAGAGACATTCTGGAGCTGGCTGGCATGCCAGTGCAAACCATTTATGCGTTCCTGTGGCAAAATGGAGTTACTGTCTACCATTGCTTCCACACATACTTGCAGTTTTGTTGCCAAATCTTTTGACGGAAAGTGAAGGTTTGGGTACTATGCTGTACCGTTTTTTAATTACAACTGAGATAGATTTTTTTTTTTTTTTAATTCAATCTTTCACCCCTTTCTAGTTGTACCCTATATGTGGATCTGCCTCCCAGATAACTTTCATCCCCCTACTTGCCAATGCCCTGCAGAAGGCTGAAAAACACAGATGCCAACAAATGGCCTCCAGCAGGTTATGCAAAGGGTGAGGGTCACTGCTTAGTTCCCTGAATCAAATCTATGAGAATGCTAAATTTCAACACAATCTTAACATGTTGTCCATAAAACAAAGAGCTTTTTCATAGACTGATTATGATTAAAAGGAGCTCAGGAACTTACTGTTCCTGAAGAAGCTGTCAGAAGAAGAGAAGTGGAACAGAGCCCAGGGGACAGCTACAAAAAGTCACAGCTGTAACTGCAAGAAATCTCTAAGAATGAGAAGCCTTGAGATGCCTTGAGATTCTGGCAGATCTAGCCCATCTTTACATTGGAAAAGCAGCAGACTCAGGGAGCAAACACAGGTGCCTCGAAAACCCAGAGTGAACCTCAGCATCTGTTTCTTTTTCCTTTTTTTTTAACATAAAGAGTGATAAAGTAGCTGTATATCACCCATGATAACAGAGAAGCCGTAATTATCCAGCTTCAAGAAACTAGTTTGTTTAGCAACATTTTAACAACATACAGAAGAATCCTGAGCTAGTAAGAATTTCCAAATCCTAATTACTTTCTAAAAACTAACAACAATAATTCATTTATTTCCCTTTAAAGAGTTCAAGAATGAAAAAAGAAAAAAGTATGTAATATGCAAATCCTCATTCTGTTCAAAAGAATTTAAGACGTGTTTGTCCATCTCTTCTTCCAGGGACTCTTTCGTATGTCAATCTCCTTTTTTTGAACTCCTGTACTTCTGAAAATCCTGAATATGAAAAAGAAGTGGAAAAAAGAAAAACCATGATAAATACAGCATGTATGCAGACTTAACTGTGTGCTTCTCAGAAGCAGTAGCAGACTTTGGCTTTAACTGGTGTGCTCCCTAAGAAAAGTATCAGCTGTCATAAAATAAAATGTGTATAGATTAGTATTTGCTACTTCTTACTGCTACTGGCCTGTTTTATGCATATTGTCTGCAATAGGAATATGGGACCTCATACAAAAATAAATAAATCAACCTATACTTAACCACAATATTTCAAAAACATTTATTTCTATTTCATTAATACTACACTTAGAATTATTCTGTAATTGTTGAAATTTAGTTCTTTTTAACCAGGCATAGTCATGTTTCTAAGTTGTTTTAAAAAGCTACTTACATTCTTAAGATTCAAATGCTTTACAATAATGTTATTTGAGAAGCTGCTTATTCAAAACAAGTTATTGTAAGGAAATTATATTTAACCTTTACAAAAAGTATGAATGCACTTTCAGGGTACGCAAAGCTTTGAAGTACACATCATACTATCTCTTTGAAAATATAAGCTTTGGAATTATTTCAAGTGGAGAGTTTACTCCTGGAGATACTAGCTAAAAAATATTCCAAGAATAAGGAAGCTTATGAAACAAAAGATTTTCATAGTGCCATTTTTACTCCATTAGTGCCAAGAGCAAAATACAGCCATTAGTAGTATCTGAATTTCATTCAAGATTTGCTGAATCTCCTTTTTGTCCTATGGAGAAAATACAATCTTTTGTCTAAATCTATGTTTACAAAATAATATTCCCCATAACTTTTAAATTAATTCTGGCATGTTCATTATCTATATTTTAGGCACTGTCAGAAAGAAAAGAAGCTGAATCTTATACAATTGAAGAACTATGCTTTTCAATATTTACCAGGGAAAAATAATGGTAGTAACACAATTCTAGTTCATTTGGTTTGGCTTTTTTTTTTTTTTTTTAATACCCCAAGACATCCTTATGCTCAAAACAAAACCTGTAAGGAATCTTTTATGACAGAAGAGATAAATATGCAAGTAAGTTTTAGCAAAAGGAGCATGCTATTGTTGGGCCGAATTTAACAACTATTTTTAAAAAAGATAAAATACAGTTTTACTCCTTACAACTTTGCAGTTGAGTAACAAAAAGAATTTCAGCAAAATCTTCAGCTTACTTTGGACCTACCTGTTTTAATTTTTTCTTTTGTCCATAAGAATGAAGGCCTTTGTTTTCTCTTTCCTTTAGATGTTTCACCTATTTGGCTAAAATTCAGATTTGGAAGCTCATCCATATCATCAAAGAAATCAGAGAGAAAACCACCTTGAACAAATGAGTTACGTGGGCCAGTGGATGAAGGCCCCTCATTCCACAGGGGCTGGTCAGTCTGAATTTCTAGGCTTTTAAATGTTGTGTCTCTAAATTCATCTAGAAAACTCTTAGAGCTCTCCTGAGGTGCACAGTCACTGAAAGCTGCAAAGAAATCCTCTTTTTCAGAGTCTTTGGAAGTATGATCAGAGCTATCATGCATTCTGAAAGGCTGTCTTTTAACATGGAGAGAATTTTTAACTTCTAGATGAGCAAAATCTTCACAGTCCTTTGATACAGCAGAGAAATCCAGCTTTCTCCTTGTAATTACATCTGAGGAGCATGCGTTCTTTTGCATACAACTTGGAAGATCAGACTTTAAAAAACTCTTATGAAGATTCAGTGGAGGAATTAGGGCTTCAGAATTCATAAGAGATGTTCCTGGTAGAGAAAAATTTGAACCATTTTGTATGGAGAATGAAAGATTAGCTTATTTTTTACATTTTACAGAAAAACCAAGATGTCATTGAGCATTGTGATTAAAGTCTGTTTCATCAGAATAACTGACTTTACCATGATTAGAAGATAAAGATTGTAATACGTTCAGATTTTTTATCTGTTTCAAAGGAGACATATTTTCCTAGTAATTCAAGGTATTACCTCTGCTGTTTTGTGCCTTATCAAGTAGCTCTAAAATCTGACAATTTTGTTTTTTATCAAGATACGATGTGTTGAAGTTATTCTGGTTTTCTGTGTGTGATGCACCTGTCACTGTTTTTTCTAGAGGAGCAGCAGTATTTAGGCTGTATGAAGATACTATGTCACTGAAATGCTGAAACGATAAAGAAAGTATTTGTCAGGAATGTTGATGGTACATCACTATTTGGTTTACATTGCTAAGTACAAGAAGTAAAATCAGTTCTTAAGATTCTGAGATATATAAATTTTTGTTTACTGGAACAAAAAAAAAAACAACAAAAACTTACCAAAGCAGGAGAGGCATGTACAGTACACAATGTACCTGTCTTACATCTATAAACAGATTAAGAAATAGTATCTGTCTTGAAACACAGGAGAAGCAATATCTTAATAATGCAATTTATTCTCCTTTATTAGTCCAAGACTGTAGGAAGCAGTATCTGCAATGGATTGGCAGCTATCATGCATCACAGAGGAATTTAACTGAGCTTTTTCTGTCAATAAAGATGGCTTTAAACATTTACAGTTAAAACAATAGTATGCACAATTTCACATCCAGTGCCCAAATACCTGTTCACTTGCTCCTTCACCTTAATGGAATGCTTCACCTTAAATGAATGGCATCCTCAGCCATTTTCTTGAATGATAAAATACGTGTATTTTTCATTGAATTAGATGACTATATTCAGTCTATAATTTTCCCAAACTTGACTCAAAAGTAGGAACAGTACGAGCACACAATTCTTCATCTCTAGGGCTCTGTCAAACACTTAGTGCTATGAATGCTAAGT